TGGTTTACCCAGATGTCTCCATAGTTCTGGTTTGCTTTTCATTATTTGTTGGATTTTTGCATTCCTGCCTTTGTTTACTGGCAGATCTTTTAGTTATCAGGCTCCTCTCCTGTGGAACCAACTACCAGTTTTAGTCCGTGAGGCAGACACCCTGTCTACTTTTAAGGCTAGGGTTAAAACTTTCCTTTTTGATAAAGCTTCTAGTTAGAGTGGCTCAGGTTATCCTGATCTATCTCTATAGTTCTGCTGCTATAGGCTTAGACTGCTGGAGGACATAGGGACCCCTTTTTCATCATTCTGCTTCATTCTATCTCTATTCTCCCACTCTGCAGAATCTGTTAGTTCAATCTCTAACGTTCTGCTCTCTCTGCTTTTTCTCATAGTAGCTTCATCTGGTCTGTTCCTGTTTGGCTGTGACTCCATCCTGGAGAGAAATATCAGCTGTGCTGCTGCCATCAACACCTTTGTTTCTAGATGCTGGAGCTTGGCCTGTTTTCCAGTGTAGTCCTGTTTCTCTGACTGTGACTAACTGGATGTGCTCTCTTCATCCTCTGACATGGGAGCTGGCTCGGAGCTCGTCTGCCTGGCTGTGTGTTTCCTGGACGGGGCCGCCTGTGGAGCTGGTTGACAGTTGCCTTTTGTATCTTTGCTTCTGTTTCTATGTCTGCTTCTGTCTTCTTGAACCCCAGTTGGTCTCAGCAGACGGCCGATCAGTATGTGGAGATAACATGTGTTGTAAATTGGCGCTATAGGAATAAACTGACTTAAATGGAATGATTAGGCCCTTTTAAATGCACAGACTTTAAAATATCACTATGTTCATTTTAATGTGAAAGGTCAGGGAGGCCTTCTTTTCTTTGCTTGATTGACAGACAGGGCATTTCTCTTTTTTTCTAAAATTTTAAATGATTCACAGGCAAAAAGTGACATCTTTTTTTTATAAGTATTAAAAATTCTTTATTGAATTTAAATTGAATCACTTTTCAGGTTTTGCTAAATATCAGATAAAGATTAGGAATTTCTGCTGTTATTTTCAATTAGTACAATTTGGTAACACCACAAAAATATTGTAAATATTCCTATTCAATTACTTTAAAAAGTAACTCTACATAACGACACCACCTTATTGAGACTCCTGTAATTTTAATAGCTTTTAATTTCATTTAGCCAACTCAAATTATTATTATTATTATTATTATTATTATTATTATTATTATTATTATTATTATTATTATTATTATTATTATTACTATCTAGAGATGTCCCGGTCTCGAGATTGGATCGGCCCGATCTTTTCCTATTTTCCCACGATCGGATTACATTACCTGACTAGTCGCGCAGATCTTTACAGCAACTGTCGTAAAGTACCCGCTAGTTACAGTTGACGGTAGTTGTGCAATACAAACCTCCGCAGCGTTTGCAAAGCAAGCATGTTAGAAGTGTGGAAGTATTTTACTGTCTTAAAGTTACTTGCAATGTCTGCAACACGGCAATTTCAAGAGGAGGTAGCAGCAGAGCTACGTTTAACAAATCATGACAAGGTGTATGAAGAGTTTTGTAAAGCTGTAGAAGGAAAGGTTGCTAAAGCAAAGCAACAAATGCTGGACGTTATGAGGAGAGACAAATACTCCAATGAAAATAATAGAGCAAAGAAGATCACAGAAATGTTGGTCGAATTTATTGCTCTTGACAACTTGACTGAATTAAGACATGAGGCATAACTTGAAAGAGCATTGTGTTTATTATAACTAAGTATTCAGGTTTGGTTGCTTAGTTCTTTTTAGGGCTGCGTACGTGTTTGTTCATGACTGAATGGTCTTGTTGATTTTGATCATGTTTCAGTGATCATGCTACAATGCTATTATGTTTACTTACTTTTTAAGTTGGATTGAGATGTTTCAAATCATTTACTGAATTGTGACTATTTGTCAATCTGTTTACGCCACATTTAAGATGAGCAATGGCATTTTAAATTTGCTCAGTGGTTAGTGCACTTTATTTTTATTGACTGTATGGCAGCCTATATTAATCACTTATAAGCTAAAAGTGGATCTTGGATAGCACTTTCTATTTGATAATACTGGACCAAGTAAGTGTTTTTCCTTTTACTTTTGTCAAAAATATAAAATTGAAGCTGAACTTTAATCTTGGGTAAGATTTTGATTTCTTGGGATTTACAATAATAATAGTAATGATTTTTTTTTTTTTTTTTTACCAGATATTAGTCTAATAAAAAGTTGACCTACTTGATCAAAATATATTTGAGTTTTATCTGTTTCACTACTAAAGAGAAAATATCAGATCGGGACTCGAAATCAGATCAGATTTGAGGTTAAAAGATCGGATAAGGATCGGAGGCCTAAAATGCTGATCCCTAATTATTATTGTTAAATATTATTATTATTATTATTATTATTATTATTATTATTATTATTACTAGAGTGGCCCGCATCTAGTTCCCCTTACAAAACTTTCTGGATGGAGCCCAAATAAGAAAATGTTCCTAAAATGAATCAGTCAACATCAGAATGAGCGGCTAAAAGTAAAGCTGGCTACAAAACATCTGCTGCAAATAACTGAAAGTTTTATTGTGCTAAATAAATGGACAATCATTACATTAAAAAAACAGTTGATATGACACATTGTGAATCATTAAGATATTTTCAACAAATATATAATAGATGTTTTTTACACTCAGCTATATCGCTAGCTTTACTCTGGCTTCCTTCTCTGATGCTTTCTCTAATAGTTTGGTCTAAATCTAAAATGGCTTGAGATGACGTTTCTTTGTGAATTGGTGATATATAAATAATTTGAACTGAATTGAACTGTAGTTTAATTTAGCACTAAAAATCAGTTATATCTACTGAAGTTAGACTATGATTGGACATTAGCAATAAAACAAATCCTCTTGCCCCTCACTGCTGCCCCCCTGGGCAGTGAGCCATGTGGCCCTGGATGGTCTAATGGCGGCAGCAGACTGCAGAGAAAAATCCAGCATCTAGAAAAGGCGTCTTTTATTTTTTTCCTTGTTTTTTTTTTTTAAGTTTGAAGGAAGAAGGAGACGTTTGGGAAATAATAAAACCTGACTCCTGCAAACAGGTTATGATGACAGAGAACATGTGATTCGGGTTGGTCATAGCTCTCCATTTCCCGGCTGTTGTCGGGAGATTTCCATCAGCAACCAAACCAAGCATGCCATAAACACAACCCTCATTTGTTTTCTCCTCAGAGCAATTACAGCATGTGATTAAAACCATTTTAAACTGAGCCTTCGCTCACTTTTATTTGTGTAAAGCGGGTCTATTTCATGTCGAGCCGTAATGTAATAATCCTGAGCTGTCATTATGGCCCAGATCTCCAGCCGATCTGTGCGTTTATGAGAAGCAGACTGGCGCACACCCTGCCGGGCGCAACACCAGGCGGAAAAAATCCCACCTACATAAAAGGCCTCAATGAAATGAATGTGGGAAATGTTAAGTTTAACAGACATTTTTCCTCCTTTCCAGATGTTCCAAATTTACAGACTTCAATGTTTGGACCTTTGTTTCCTTTCCAATAGTCTGAAAAACATTTCATTTAGGTATCGGCTGTCTAAAAGTGCGGAAGCAATCTCTAAAAATATTGAAAGGCTTCTTCAGAGAAAATATGAGAAGTCAGAACATTCCATCAGATTTAAAGGCCAGATTAATTAAGTAGGAGGAAGATTAGATTGGACGTCCATTAAACAGGGGGAAAAAAAGCTTTTTAAAGATATTATCAGGCCTAAATTACAGGGGAAATATAGTCCGATAAAACCCAAACTGGTTTAAACAAAAATAAAATGAACTTATTTCATTTGGTTAATATTTCATCTAACTAAATTTGCTCTAAACGTCGTTCCAGTTATTTACAACATTGACAATAGTTTATTTAATTCTATTCAGTTTATATATAGCGCCAATTCACAAGGCGAGTATTAAGCTCCAAAATATGGGAAAACATCGGGAGGCATTAATTACCACTTAATAAAGAAGAAGTAGTAATTCAGTAGTAGTAAGGAATAATTAATTGTTAATTTAAAATTGGTTTTAGCGGACAGAAATCAGCATTTTGTTGATCTCGACTAATCGATAACTTCGCTGTTCTGCTCCTTGCAGGCTATGACGTCATTTGGTTCTTTCTTTCAGCATAACTCTTTATTTTGCTCTACTTGTCTTCCCATCCACTCTATCCAGAGTTCCTCTTTCTAAACAACATACTGCCTCCACCATGCTTTAAGGTTGACATTGTGGAGCGTTTTGCTCCTCAAGTCCAACATCCTGAAATTACTTTTTTTTTTTTTTGAACGACTCTGACCTGGATGACTGAGAATCTTCATCGTGGGACCAAAGCTTCTCCATTTAATGTTCCTCACAGATGCGAAATATTCAGACGAACTGTGACTTTTTTCATCAGTTGTTTTTTTTTATTCTTCCATAAAATCAGATGTTTTAATCAAAAGGCCCGTTAGATTTTTCTGAGCTCAATGAAGCGTCTCCATGGTTACCATCACATTCGTAATCCTCAGAGAAGCAACGTGGTTTTTATAACCGTGTCCTCGTTGACCTGTTAAAACAATTTGTATGGTTGGGATGGGAACACCGAGAAGCAAACCTCAAAGGGTGTGAATACTTTAACAAGTCAGTGTACAAGTCTGCCTAAGATAATAATAATGATAATAATTTATTACTATATATTTAATTGCAGAAAAATGTCTGAACAGACTTTATTTAATATGCTACAGGAAATGCAAGAAAGTGATAACAAATTATTATTGTTTATTTTTTTTAGATTTGTCAATTCTATATGTTAACACGTTGAAAGTAAAGCGTCATTGCCATCAATAAGTATTTAATAGACAATCTAATGTCGGGCTGCAGAGCTTATAGCTCAGGTTCGGTGAAGGAATGAGCGCCGCGCTCTTCCCTCCCTCTGCGTGACGCACAGGGACCAGCAAAGGGGCAGAGAAAAAGTCAGGGAATAAATTAAGTCTGGGGTGGAGGTGAAGAGGCGTGCCAATAATCCACGACTTTGGACCAAAGCAGCGCGTCTCAGAGAACACATGGCATCGCATCGGATCCATTACGCAGCGTTAAGGAGCCGCTGCGAGAGAAAAGGGAAGCTCTGAGCTGCCACTAGTGGGGCCCCCATCCTGCAACTGGAAGATTCATCTTAAAGTCCGGGCGGATAGTTTCATCTTGTCGGGATGCAGGGCCTGAGCTCCCGGGCTCACGCCTTCTCTGTGGAGGCGCTTGTGGGGAAACCCTACAAGCGGATGAAAGTGTCCGAGATGCAGGAATCAAGTTCAGCTGCAGATACTGGAATCTTTCACGGTGAGACAAACACTCGGTGGTTTTACGCACAGTCTGAAAACGGAGAGAAAGAAAAAATTAAGTTAAAAATCTTCCGGATAGTTGACCGTGAAGCACATGTAGAACTAAAATATCATTTTAAGGGAAAGAAAAACCAATATTCAATACATTCCACAATCATTCTTTTAAAAAGTTTCTTTAACAATAAAGAAGGAGGAAATAACTCAAGCGAATATTTTTATAGGCCAGGCTGAACACACCGCCAGTCAGATGACTGCCGCCGGGTCATCACCGTGGAGGCCTGCAGAAAAGCCCGGTCAGCAGCCGGCAGAGAGCGGGACAGAGGAGTCAGAGAGAGGGGTCCAGGCGGAGCTGCAGGGCTCCGAGCTGTGGAAGAGATTCTATGAAATTGGAACAGAAATGATCATCACTAAAGCTGGCAGGTAACAGATCAGCATGCGGGGATCCACGCACACATGATGCGGTGTTATGGCAGGATTAGCCTATGGCTGCATCAATAAACTTAACATTTTGTTTTGGAGAAAAACAACTTTGATCAAATCGCTCAGGACAAAAATCTGAACTACATAATATAAACAAATCCGCTCCTTTCTGTTCAGATCAGATCATCTTTGTTTACCTGCTTTAGAAAGCGAGTCTATCAGCAGCAAAGATCTTTACAGGAAGTGATCTGCGGGATCAGGCTGTTAAATATTTCAAACCTTCAAAAGGAAGGATTGAAATATTTAACTCACGGAAATATAAAATATATTTCAGCTTTTTTTTCTTAACAAAATATTTTATTTTCTTGTGTTGATTTTATTTGTCAGGTATTTAGAGCAAGAGAATGAAGAAAACCATAGTTTTATTTTTCAGGGATTGAATTTATATCATGTTCTTTTTTTTTTTCTTTTTTTTTATTTAATCTCGGTTCAACTGCGCAGCAGGCCGCGCGCGGCTCCGTCTCATTTCTCTGCGCTGCAATTATAAACAGGAACACTTCATTAGACTATTTTTAAACGTTTATTATTTACTTGATATATGTTGTTTTCTGTAGAAGAATGTTCCCGTCTGTTCGCGTCAAAGTGCGCAATCTGGAGCCCTGCCAGCAGTATTACGTGGCGATGGACGTCATGCCGGTGGACTCCAAACGCTACAGGTGAGTTCAAAAGTTTCAGCAAACTATCTGTGGAAATTTTAATAAACTTGACAAAACATTTGGATGAATTTTTATTTAGAAACTAATCATTAGATATGAATAAAGTTCACATCTAAAAAAAATAAAAACCTAAAGCTGATAAATCCAAATAGTTTTAGGATCATTTGAGCAGAATGACATATTTTAGACGCTTTAAGAATTTAGGTAGTTTATTCTGTTTAAAATGCTGAAGCATCTTTCATAAAGATAGGATAACAGATCTATTCAACATTTTCTATTTAAAAAAACACACCCGGTTTGTAGATATTATTTTATAGTTGAAATCACACAAAGAAGCTTCACTGTTTCTATTATTAATTCATCAGGTTTATATTCTATAAAAAGACTAAATATTTTTTACATCAATCTACTCTAATATTGGGACATTGAATCCTGTTTCATTAATCAATAGGCGACTTGGACCAATGTCAGATTTTAATTATATTGTCTTAATTAATATTAGCCGTTAGTCATTAATAACCATGAATAAACTGCAGGAAGTTCTGGGTTATTTCTTCATGCTAGTTGATTTTGCTCAGTTTAAACTAAACCTGAGGAGAAAAATTTAATCAAGCAGCGGTTTGGATCTGAGACCGAATCTAGAGGGAAGCTCAGGATTAATGACGAACCAGCTGCGTCTAAACTTCCCAGTTTGACTGGTGCATTGGTCAGAATGAACAGATAAACATGGAGCCTGCATTTTACTTCTGAAACTTTAATCAATGAAACGCTTCATATCAGATCAATGGTTAGCAAGTCAGGCTAAGCATTAAAACTGTTCGATTTTAAAAAAATTAGTTACAAAGCTTTTTCTGTGACACATTCATAATAAAATATATTATAAATATATTTATAATAAAACCCACATGATTTTTCTATCACACACAGGAATAGAACAGCTGACAGGAGGCTTTAGATATGATTTATTACCAAAATAAAAAAGGTAATATTAAAATGTATCTTTTTTTTAGACGCTGCATTGTTGCTGTAGATACCCTCCAAAATCCTCTCTCACTTTTCCCTTTTGATTGCTGATTTGTTTTGGCCTTCTTCAGGTATGTGTACCACAGCTCTCAGTGGATGGTGGCTGGAAACACGGACCACTCGTGCATCTCTCCTCGCCTCTATGTGCATCCGGATTCCCCCTCCTCAGGAGAGACGTGGATGCGACAGGTGATCAGCTTTGACCGGGTCAAGCTCACCAACAATGAGATGGATGATAAAGGACATGTAGGTAACCAGGGATCTGCTCTGCTGAGGAAACTTTCATCATGTTCACTGAAGAAGAAGTTTGAGGCTAATCTGTTTGACCAATTTAAACAATTTTAATCGTTTAGATTGAAAAGTCTCAAATAAATATTTTAAAATAAACAAATTTACTCATTTTAAACCTCATTTTATCACCTGGTTTATCTAAAATCACAGGAATAGTAAAGTTAATGAATAACAGTAATTAAAACAGTATTTATGTTTTTAAAAAGGTTGACCAGAGAAGTTTATCTCATTAGCTCTGACTAAATTATTCAACCTTCAGAAACTTTAATTCTTTCTCAAACACAGAAACTATTAGATGCACATTCCTTTGCTTTAATAACGCAACATGAAGAGGATTATTAGTGCGATTAAACATCTTCAACAATAATATCTTTAATTATAATTTCATTCATATTTTTTATAGTGTAAAAACACTGGATTTATCTGTGATTTATTTCCTGTGTTTTTAGTGAGATGTGCTGCAGAGTCAGTTCTTCACTGCTTCAGAAGCTTCAGTTAAGCTTGAATCTCAGTTTTGTTTTTAATAAAACAGGAAGGGAGAATAAATCCATCTTTATATGGCAGTTTAACAGATGTGCAAACAAGAATTTGTGATTAATTTATGAAAAAAAAATTGAAGCTTTGCAGTAAAAAAAAAACTCCAAAAGGAAATAAAAATATTTGTTTTCTCTTCAATAATAATTAATTAATTATATCTTTATACAGATAAAACGTTTAGTTTAAAACTGCCAAAAAAAAGGAAAAAGTCTTTTCCAGCTAAACTGCCTGAAATTGTTGTTTGAAAGTGAAAGATGTAAACATTTGGAAATAAAGCTTATATTTAGATCTTAAAGGTTAAAAACCTGAAGAATGAGCCTGAATTTAAGAATCTTTGTTTGGGCTCAACTTTCCAACACATTGACGCTTTTTTACCGGTTTTAATTTTATGGAATAAAAAAAAAATGATTTATTTTGATGTTGTACTAAGTTGTGTTTGTACAACGTCATTTAACTTTAATTAAAAAGGAAATTTATCAGGAAAAATAGATTTTAACACATATAAAACATTTAATCATCTAATCACATTTTTACCTTCACAATTTTACAAATTACCAAATTAAACTGCAGTCGACTCTAGTCTGCAGAAATATACAATGAAAAACTTCCTCTTTTGTGATCTACTAAGATGAATATTTCATTAATAGTCAATTATTTCAATTCCTGCTGTTTTTTTGCAAGATTTTCCAAATATTTTATTTAGAAAGTATAAATTATTTCTAATAGCTGTAGAATTAAATGTTAAAATATTTTTCAGCAACATATGGATGAGAAGCAATCTAGTCTACTTTCATTATTTTCAGATACTGAACTAATTGAATTTATATTTCTAAAAGGCAGCTCTCCTTCCATTTAAAGTTTTATCTATAAAAACAGATGAACCTACAGAACTTCCTGTGCTGCTCTGCAGATCATCCTTCAGTCGATGCATAAATACAAGCCTCGTGTTCACATCATCCGGTACGACGCTCGCATGGACGCCTCGCAGATCCAGGCTCTGCCAGCCGAAGGGGTTCACACCTTCTCCTTCCCAGAGACCGAGTTCACCACAGTCACAGCATACCAGAATCAGCAGGTCACCATTTATTCTCACTAATCTCATCTGCCAGCACTCTTTGAAAACATTTGAACTAAACATCATAAACTTTAATTTTATAAACTTTCGTAGAATTAAGAGGTTTATTTCCTGCCCTGCAGCTATGAGAGATCAATCAGGAAAGGAGGCAAAGAGAAGGAACCTTCTGTTGAATTAGTCATTTTAAACAAACACAAAATGATTATAAAGTTGGCAATTAGAAAACTGCACAACTAACATGGTTAACAGCTTTAATAACACTAGAGGTTATAAATGTTCATCTTTGAATTTTCTTTTTTTTTGTGGCTGTTTTGTGGACAGTAGGCTGACAGGAAAGGGGGAATGAAAGAGAAGGAGAGACATGCGAAAAAAGGACCACAGGCTGGATTCGCCTCCTGACGCCTCCATGGGTCCATAGGTTACCCTTAACATCTCTGAAATTTCTAAAAAGCTTTCTACCATTTCAGAAATGAGAACGTTGTATGACGGAGTCTGGAAGCTCAAAGGGAAAACCCGGAGAAACTGGACCCTGACAGGTTCCAAGGTTCAGGGAGAGAATGGAGGAACTGGGCTAGATGGCCAAAATCCTCCAGAGGCAACCAAAATATAAAATGACTGAGGAGATGAACCTCTCAGATTCTGCTGCCTGCACTTTTAAATATTTTACTTTCATTTTTAAACAACTGTCTGATAACTTCCACATCAAAGATCGCTTTGCTTGGTAGAACCGGGTCGACCTTATTTCTGATTTGCTCAATATTTGGAAAACATCTGGATTCTTCCCACCAGCAGGTCAGCGATCTGGGTGGGTTCAGCTGAAACCTCTGATTCCAGCCGACAGCCGTTTTATCGGAACATCTTCGGATCTAAACATAAAACAGACCTTTAGTTTCTGCTGTGATCCTGGTTGACATCCCGTACCCGGACTGTTCCTCCTGTTTGTGAAGCCAAAGAGCCCCTCTCTGTAAAACCAAAAATCATGTTGTTTTTAGAGAGGATGTGTGTATTTTACACAGCATACCTAAACCCGCTGCTCGCTGCCATTCCTCTGGTAACAGAGCCGTCTCAGGGGCTCCCAGCTCTTTTCATCAGGGCTCATTTTACTATCGGGGAACATATCATGACAGAAAGCCAGGATGAAGATGTGACTGATGGGGGGCTGCTGGGGTCCACAGCCTCTTACTGCAGGGCATGAAACTGTAAAAATGTTTCTCTCAGATGCATGTTTGGTGTAAAAGGAGGTGATATCTGCACCTCATCCCTCCTGCATGAAGCTGAGCTCATTGTTAGCTTAAACATCACCAGATGACGCTCTGACTCATCTATCTCCCTCTATTTTGGGTAAGATCACCAAGCTGAAGATCGACAGGAACCCGTTTGCTAAAGGCTTCAGGGATCCTGGACGGAACAGGTACAGCACACCTTCCTACTGCAGGACATCCATCTGTGTCTTTAAACGAGCCTGGAGGGAAACCAATTACATGTGTAGCTGCATAAAAGCTTCAAATAACGCTGAAGCTGTGTAAAGCAGAATTTTATTCCTGCTGTAGGATGTTTCTGTGTTTTTGCTGTAAATAGAGCTGTTCGCATGTGTTTACCTATAGAGGGGTTCTGGACGGCCTGCTGGAGTCTTATCCCTGGAGAGGCCCCTTGAACTTGGACCTTAAGCCTTTCTCCATACAGCTTCAAGGTATTACGCTTGAAATTCATTTCGTTTGCTTGTCTAACTTTCAAACTCTTGTAACGGTGTGATTCTGACATGTGTTGACAGGAAGCTCGCCGTCACCGAGCAGCGGGGTCAAGAACTATCTGCCGCTCTCGTCATCTTCAGCTCTTCTTCCGCTCTCCTGCCCAGACTCCGCTCTCCACGCTCTCACTCTGCCCCTCTTCGGAAAGACGTCCACCGACTCGCCCTCTGTTTCTACGCTGCCTAGCAGAGTCTTGTCCTCCCTGGGAGCAGACAGACTGAGAAATATTCCTTCTGTTCCCCCATTAGCAGATCTGCCGTTTTTCTCTGCGCTGCAGGGGAAGAAAGCCCTGAACTGCAGGGATCAGTGTCTGCACAGGTCTCCTGGGAGCTCTTCATGCCTTATCCAACTCCACACCCCACTGAGCCCCCAGCGGTCCTCTTTACCACCTCATCTTGCTGATACTATGGCTCCCTACTGTCTTTACGGCTACAGCTTTCCTCTGAGCCCCCGACTCACGGCTCTTTCTAGAGACGGCAAACTGAGCGAAAACACAGACTATCTGCTCTGGCATCCTGCGTGGCAGCAGACCTCCAACCACTGCCTCTGACAGCTGCACAGATACCGGCCCAAAAAGAAAACCAGCCAAAAGTTAACAGAAAGAGGAACAATTCTGCTTCAAGCACGACTGAATGGAAAAAAAATGTGACCCATATTTAAGAAGTGATTAACTTTCTGTGTTCCAAGCACAAAAACTGATCTGGAAGCTGGTTAATGAGCCAAAACATCCAAACTTTGAATAAATATGCAAACCTTTTTGTTCAGGATGGATGCCGATTGCTTTTTTAAATAAAGATTAGTGCTTTAAACTAGTTCAACTTGCAATGTTACCAAAGAGCATAAAGAACCTGAGGTAAGGATAATACTAAGAGCAATTGTATTTACTGTAAAAGTTGTTGTTAAAATAATTATTATAAAATGCCAATTAAAGTATTTTTTTTTTTACTATTTTAAGATCGGTGCAGCTATTCATACATCCCCAAACATAGGTACAAATATGATACAATGAGTATGCATGTAATTATTTTTGTATGTATCTATATACATACATATTTAAATAAACATTTAACTACTAAGATATATATATATATATATATATATATATATATATATATATATATATATATATATATATATATATATATATATATAGAGATATACGAACATCAGTTCCTGCATGTTTGTTCCAATCCACGCCCACAAACACGAAAACATGTGAAAACGCAAATGTCTGCAGAAACCTATATGAGCCAGCATGCTACCTACTAGGAGCAGTTTTCCTGCTCCTAAATACTCTGCAATCATGGAATGAAATCCTCTGACAGTGAACAGTGTCTCAGGTCCAGCCACCCTCACCAACAGCAGGAGCTCATCAGCTACTCTGTGGTTTCAGCTAAGAAACAGCTGCCAGATTTCTGGCATCCAGCTTCCATTTCTTCACTAAACATCCAATAACTAATCAGCGACTCAGGGCGGTGAAAGGATTGTTCTTCAGCGTTACTATTTGACTCCAACATACGAGAAAGAGCATCTTTGCTCGCTGACATGGTCCAAAGAGCCACATGGTCCAAAAAGCTGTAGTTAAATTAGTTGTAGATTCTTCTTGAGGCTTTAAGTTAAGGAAATTCACGAGCATCAAATCAAAGGAAAACTGTGGCACGCCCTATTATCAGTTGATGTGATAATTCCTGCCTTCAGCTCCAACTTCAGGCCAAATATCAAACTCTGGTTAGGGCAAAGCGGGGCACGATGGGGGAAATGGACTGTTTCCCAACAAACGGTCATAACCAAACAGCAATTAATGTGCCATAGCCGAGTGCGGGAGGAACAGGCATGGGCTGGAAGGGGGAAATAGCAGGAAGGAGTCAATTTAGGAACCCAGGCAGGGGGGGGGGGTAGTCTATTTCAGCCAACCGTCAGGTGCAGCACTATCAGACAGCTTGGCCTTTGTCTGCAGACACAATCAGCCCAGGTTACTCGATACTGTCGGCCATTTCCAGGTTTGTCTACCGAGGACCAAAATTTCTAACTCCTAACCCATTCCTGATCTTTCAATTAAACTAATTGCTTTCATGCGAGGAGAGCTGAACTCTGCACCTGTCTCCCCCCAACCTGCAGCTGACACACAAACACTCTGAAAACTTAAAAGATGCAACTGTAGAAAATTACTTTAAACCTCAAATAAACTCCTTTTCAAATAAGAGAAAAGAAGCAACAAAGAATGAAAGTCAATTATGCAACAACTCTGCAAAAAGCAACACTTTTAAAGGGTTTGGAGTACTTATATTAATCTGCTTATGTGAACTCTGTTTTATTTTTTACATGCAAATAAAAAGATAAAAAAATAAGTGAAACCCCAATGTTTTATGAAAGTACCACGTGTTCCTTAAATCCACATTGTAAATATAATGATGCAAAATGTGTCCACATAATCCTCTTGTAGGTGGCGCCTGAAATAACAGGGAAAGCGTGCAGATTTGAGGTTGGAATAACATCAGGAGGGGATGTTTCTGGGCCATTCGGTGTGATTGACGTGTAGTAAAAAGGGAGGGAAACTTGACCCCAGAGTCATTTGTTTCCAATCATGGGAAATGGCATCCAGAAATAGGAGAAAAGCTCAGCGGTGAGTGTAGACATGTAAATATACTCCTCATTCATTAGATTAGCATACAGAGAGGTGCAGCACAAACATGCTGCATGTCAGTTATCTCCTCAAAAAGGTTGCAAAGCTCCTCCTCCTAGAGCCCTGCAGCACTGCTTAAGCTAGGCCCTCTGTGGAGGTTTATATGGATACTATTTTCTCTGCAAACTCAATAAAAGACCAGTTATTTATCAGGTCAGATAATGAGACAGGATTAAGCTCGGCTATATAAATTGAAAGTGAAACCAGCTGTGTCTGATATTGACTAACCGCAGAGTGTAATGCGGAAAGGCAGAGCAGTTTAACAACTATTGCCCGTTTTTTACTACTCCATCAGACATGTGATACAATTTAACGATAAAATGCCCCCACTACCCTTAAACTTAGCCTTGTTTTGAACCACCTAAGCTGTGAAACTTTGTTATTAATGTAGAAAAACCCCTTCTGAGCTTTTATTCTTTGAATCTCCAAAACGTATTTATAAAGGTAATGAATTTTCTTGCAATAATATAATCTGTATTATTTAATCACATTTTATTGCGTTACGACCTCCAAATTTTATTAGGACTGCATGTAATAGAGCAGCTGTTCCTTCAGGATCCAGACTTAGGCTCAGCTTTATTAATCCCTTCGGAAATTCCAGCAGCTTATACAGAGTTCCAAGAGTTAAATCAAGATGCCATTAAAGATCAAATACAACAGACATTAGGAAAATAGTGTATATAGTATCAAACAAAATCATTAAAAAAGTTGTAATGTCCTGGAATATGTTTCCTTTAGATATAAAAATATCTGCACAGTAGAGAGCTGAGGACAGACTACACAGAAGCTGACTTGGATTATTGCACTTATACTGCACAGATGTACTGACCTTAGAAATAAGTAAAGAATATACAGACCAGACAGTAGTTATTGCACAGAGAGAGGAGAATATTGCACGTGACTGACAATAGGTAATGTTTAGCATCAGGTGTCCAAGGAGGGGGTGTTGACCCTTGTCCCTCTTCCTATCACCTCCTTCTTCCCCCCAGTGAGGAGCTGAACAGCTTGATGGCTTGAGGAGCAAAAGAGTTCAGCAGTCTGTTGCTCCTGCATTTGGGGAGCAGCAATCTCCCACCGATCAGGCTCCTCTGAGTGGTGAAGACAGTCTGCAGAGGGTGGATGACATTGTCCATAATGTCCAGCAGTTTAAGTGTCCTTGTCTCTGCCACCATCCCCATAGGGTCCGGCTTCTAGCCAATCATAGAGCCAGCTGGCCTCCCCAGTTGGTCCAGTCTGGAGGTGTCCTTCATGTATGTGCTGCTCCTACTGGCAACCAGTGTTGTTTCTGGCAGCAATCTTAGATTTAGTCTTAATCTTCAGGATGTAAACGTTTAGTCTTAGTCGTATTTTAGTCATTACTATATATGATAGTTTTAGTCTGTTTTTTTATGCAATGAAATATTTCCTTTGGATATAATTTAGGGATCCCTTTTGGAAGAAATTAAAGAAAGTTTACTATCACCTCTTGTTAGCTGGAAGAAATAAATTCTTAATAGTTGGACTAAAAGATTTTTTATGCTCGGGAGAGGATGATCAGCCACATATAGTTTATTAAGTAGCAAGAGACGGAAGAGCCATACTGCTGAGAGTGAACCATCAGCGTGGAGCGTAAAGGGCAGACTCTGAACTAAAGGAAGTGGGGGCGAGTTTGTCCGACAACAGAGGGACATAACGGGGAAAAAGAGTGGGGATTCAGGTGAAAAAGGGTCCCAGCGTTCTCACACACCTCGCTCTTCTAGCTGGTCCAACTTCATGAGTTGTTTTCTGCAGTTGTGGTCATAAAAACAAAGCAAACCGGCCTCCTGTTTGGGGCAATGTCGCTGGTCACGTACAATTTGGGAGAGGTGCAGCAGAGTGTCTGCAGAAGGGGGCGGGGACGTCTTTTTGTTTACTGCGACACCTACGAAGAGGACCTAGTTTGAAATTATAAATTAGACTTTACCCACCCATTACTCCATCTTGCCCATGACCAAAATCTAATAAATTAGAAAAGGAGTAAATCATGATAATCTAATTAAAATAACTAAAATTAGGGAAAAAGCTTAAACGATTAAATGTGGTTTATTTAACATAAGATCTAAAAAAGTCTCCTAGTTAATGGTTTGATTTGTGATAATCACATTGATTTATGTTGCCTTAGAGAAAATTAGCTGCTGCAAAGGGGATTATGTTAACATACCTTGGCTTCCCCAAAAGGTGCAGCAACTGCCACGGTACGGCCTGGAATCTGGCCAGACATTCTGAAAATATTTTGTAAGAAGAAAAATCTATCCCTTTAGTCATAAAAAAACTCCAACCTGCTTCACTGATGATGAAGATCATCCACCATGTTTTCCAGTTCTAAAACAAAAGAAGTGCAGGCTGATGTGTCATCCTTCATATATCATTTTTACATATTTTCCAAAAAAAAGTCTAATTAGACTAAAAACGTTGAAGCTTTCTCTGTGGCTTGTGGCAAACAACAACATTTCTATGGATTGCTTTAAACCATTGTTTTCTTTTCATTAAAAGAGAAACCTTTTCATAGAAAAACCTTTTCATAAAAGAGACATTTGTGGAGCGTGTGATTAACAGTAAACTACTGTTAATAGATCCATCCCTCCCACTGGATATTTTTTTTATCCAGCCAGCTCCTCCAGAGTTACACTCCAGTCGCCTGGCCACCTTTTAAAACTAGTATATTTCAGTAATATTTTAAAAACATGAGTTGATCACAAATACTCTCTAACCTCACAGAACACCTGCTTCTACTTCATTTGAAGGAATCAAGGTAAAGAGCGATGAATATGGGATCCACACCTTTTCGATGAGGGACCTTGCATCATTCAAGGTTTGTAGCTAAACGTGTAAAATCGAGGAGCAGTTGATGTTTTCCTTCACTGAGCAAAGTTCTTCTCAAAGATCCTCAGAATATTTGAATGCAGTTTCACTTTGCGGCTCCAGCAGCAGCAGACCTGCATGGTTTTATGACTATGTGTGTTTTAGGGACGTATTCCTCTAAGCCATCCATCCAGGCCTGAAAACAGCACAATTTCCAGCAATGTTTTAATCAGCCAAGCAATCCTGATGTTAACACATCGTTTCCATGTTGTTCCTTCACTTTGGGACTAAAGCAGTCAACAAAAG